TCAGGGTGAGCCCTTTCTGATCTTCATCACCAGTGGAGTATCAGGCAAGGAGTGGTGCCAGTTTCTGCTCCCATTGCTGGAGCCCACCTTCATGGCTGTAGCCTCTCTTGTGCCAATGCTGGCTTGGCGTGCGATCATGTCCCAAAGTTCCATCTGGCCTAAAATATCCTGTGATTCTGTCCATTTGAGATACAACTTCATGTTAGGCATTCTCTCTCTTGTGAGGTTGTGCTTAGCTTAATTACAGCCCTAGATATTTTTAGATTTTTTTAAGCCAATACTTTCATTTGCGTGGCACATGATTTTTTTCAGATTCATTTGGGTTACTTTTTGAGAATACAGTTTTGAGGCCCTTAATGTATTTGTCAATTTTCTCTATTTGTTTATATACTTGCTCAATCCTATTGCAGTACTTCTCCTTGAGATGCCTTCTAAGTGTTTTCAAGCACTTAGATATTTTCAAAGAGTATTTCATAAGTATTTTGCCCCATACAGAAGTTTACATTTTAACAGCAGATTAATTTCATAGGGAATGACAGACTGGTGTCATTATAAGTCCAATGTGTGGAAAAGGATTTGTACTAGACCTTGGCTGCTTTTGAAATAACCATTAGTTTTGAGGCACCTTACCCTGGGAAATTTCATCCATTCTGGAAAGCAGATTAAAGTTCTGTGTTTGAAAGTAAATCCAGAAAACTAGAATTTCTCAAGGTGTCCTCAAGTATTTATATAATTTCCCCCTTAAGTCCTCCAACACCAAAACCTCCTTTTTCAGGTAAAGATGGGGTTCTGAATAAATTCGGCTTAACCTCACTGTTGTGTGTATTGTGTATTTTGGACTATCCTAAATTCATTCTGCCTGCCAGTCAGATTCTCCTGATGTAAAAAACCTGAGTTTACATTATAAAACTGTAATTGTCTCATGCACACTTCTTTTTTACTTTGCAGTTAATGTAAGTTTAATAATCTCTTTCTGATTCAGAGCTGCAGATGATGAGTGAATGTATAAAGCAGTGGTGTGTTGTTTCTTTACACACTCATCAAAGTGTGAAACAGGAAAGGGAGTGTGGGAGACAAGTTTGTTCTGCTCTGTGGGTTCCAAACACTTTCCATTTTATCTCTGCTGTGTTATTACATTTGGAAATGTGCAGTAAATTCTGGTTTTTTTCTATTTCTAATCTGTTCTGGTTTTGTGCAGGCCTTGGAGAGAGGGCTTTATCTGGGAATTTCTTTCTTTGTGATTTGTGGGTTTTTTTGGTAAACATAGTCGGCAAGATCTTTTGGTCTTTTATTTTTTTGTTGTTGTTTGCATAGGTTACAAAGGGAATTGCAGAAAAGGTTCTGCTCTTATATTTTGGGAATGATGGTTTTCCAAAGTCATTAAGCTGGGTTAAGTTGTTGTACTATGTCCTCCAGAAGACCAGCCCTTGAAACCTAACTGAAAACTTGATGAAGAGTGAGCTGTTGTGGTTTTTTGTGTCAGGACACAGCACCAGTGGTCTGTGAAGTACACTAACTAGCAGCTGGTTTCTGGATGAAATCTGATACGTTATTTTGATTTAGCAATCTCTATTATTGGGATCCTCTTTTCACAAAAAGCTTTTCTCCTCACCTCCTCTAATAATTACTTGACCTAATTTATTACCAGCTTTTATTTCTACTGTGTATAAATGGAAAGAATGTTATTTTTGGGAATATGGGGTTAGGGGTATTTTAGTGTGCTTCCCACTGTGGTTGGTCAAAGCCTGAATGTGATGTCTCTGCAGGGCCAGTGTGCAAAGCCTTGCCCAAATGCCACTGGAGTGGAACTGATTCTGAGGGCGGGAAGCAGCAGGGTCATCTTCAGATTCCTTTTGCTTTGTGAAAGCCTGTGTTAACAGATTCATAGTGCTCTCTCCATGCTGCAAGTTTGTGTGCAGGGAGGTGATGGAGGCCCAAGTCAGGTTTGACACACATGGGTACTGCGGGCAGGTTGAGCAGCGCTGCCTTCCCTGTGATCCCTGGGACCATGGGCCCTGGGAACAAGCAGGGATCCAGCTCTGGCACTGCTTCTGCCTGCAGCCTCCCTCTGGAACAGGGGCTTTGTGCGACTGAGGATGGACAGGACCTGTGGGACAGACTCCACACAAGCATGGAAAAATATCTGTCTTTACTGCATCTTTCTTCTCAGTGTTTTCCTGTAGCTTATTTTCTTTGGAGTGCATATATTTTATGATTTTTTAAAATTCCTTCTATATTAGAAAAAGCTTTTTTGTTTGTTTGTCTGAGGTATTTTTTGAGTAATTTTTAATCTTTCTCAAGTACAACTTCAATAAAATGTGTTTGTGAACCTAGGCTTGATCTGAAAAAGGATGGCTATTCAGAAAATTGAAAATTTAATTTACCTGGACTCATAGATCGGTGATGACTGATACTTTTTGGTATTTCTTCATTTTGGTTTTACCTATGAAAGGGTTTTCTTTTGTATCCAACTGGGAAACTAGGATTGCTTTAGTAAGCATGTAATATTGGAAAACTGCTACACACCTGCAAAAATATGTAATTGTTTTGAAACTTCAATTTTTTTCTCATACTGTTTTTTAAAGTGCAAAGTTTTGATTTTTTTACTCTTTTTATTGATATGAAAATAATTCTGGGAACCTTATCTTCTATAACATGCATATTTGTATCAGTTTTAAAAAAAATTGGTCAAAAAATTATGAATATCTATCAAGTCATCACATATACCTAATGGATTAATCTATGGCTGTTAAAATTATTATTGACGGCTATTAGATTGCTTGCTGGATTACTTCAAATACTTTAAACATTCTTGTGGTTATGTGCACCTAAGAGTATGTATTTTAAAGAAGCCACAACATGGTTTCTTTAAACTTGTACTGACAGAGGTGATAAAGCTGCAGACAGATGAGAATGGGGTGGAGAAGATAAGAAACAACAGCTTTGATCATTAGTAGAGAAAAAAAGGAAGTCAATTAAATGAGGCACTGGGATAAAGCAAATTCAAAGGAAGGTTCAGGACCTTGAGAAGAATAAAAATATTAGCTAGGTTTGTTGGGCTGGAAAAGATAAAAGGTGAGCTATATGTACAATGTATGTGTTGTATCCATAATGATTGATTAATGATACTATATTAATTTTGGTACATTTGAAATTTTTAACCTTTTACATGTTAACATCTAAAATATTCAAGGACTTTGTCCCCTGCCTAGTTTCATAGAATCATGTTGTCAATTGTGACATTCTCCAATTTTCCTGTCTCACTAAAAACCAGAGATGTGTCATGTCAGCCCTTCACCCTTTACAGTTCTTCCCTTCTGCACAAGTTCCAAGCAAAAGGAAAAGGTTATTTAAATAAATGTTCAAAATTAGCTGGTATATAATTCTTGGCAAAGAACATTGGGTTTAAAAAATGCAGTTTTCCTGAATGCTGCCAGTAGCAGTTTCTGCTAACTTGGTAAAGCCTCATGTTCCTCTAATAACTGATATATTTTCATTGAAAAGCTTTGAATTAATATCATATTTGGGGACAGAAATGATATATATATAAAGTCTTGAGGGGATGTCTGAGAGCACATGTGAGAATGTCCAGGTGCCTTTGGCTGGTAGAAAGCAGTTGAGAGGTACTGCATCAGGGGATGTCAGGGAACTTAGGCTGGATGAGATATTACAGCATACCAAAAGAAATCAGAAAGCTGCTGGGGAGTACAGGTTTGGAGCAGGAAGGTGTGGTTGGTGCCAAGTGTCTCGGTTCATCAAAGCATAGCAAGTTTTGCTGTTCTCAAGAAGGGAATAAAGCAAATTAGGTATGTAGGAAGAAGTCTGAAAGATTCTCCTGGGCTCAAAACCAGGATATGTTTATTTGAGAAAATGTTGAGACTCTGGGGAGATAAAAGCCCCCTATTTATTGACCAGCAATTAAAGCATGCATGTAAGTGGATAATTACTATAAACAGTAGGATTCTTCATGCTTTAGCTTGTCTGGTGCTGTCACACCCAATGGTATTTGTCTCCTAGACAATTTTTAGCGCAGACTCTTACTGGAAAGCATGTTTTGCAAAGAACCGTTTGCCTTCCAGGGGCAGTCCCAGAGTTCACTGGTGGCTCCCTTGGCAATTTCACATCCTCTCAGCTTTGTGTACCACACCCACAGCCGCTACCCATAATAACCTCTTACCAGGTTCAGTGGGTGTGAATTCATTGCCATTTACAGAGAGATCTGTTTGGTTTTCACCTGCACAGCATCCTGCACATGCTGGTCATGTGCATGTCTAGTACAGTCCAGTTATGTCTGTGTCATCGGAAAAAAAGTTCTTTGGCAACAATTTTTTATATGCTTGGTTTTTTAATATGCTTGTTTTTTGTCGTGCTGAAACAGCTTCTTAATTTTTATGAAAGTGGTATTGTAATGAGAAAAGGCACTTTTTAATGCAGTTTTACATCTTAAAAAGTTAAGGAAAGCTTGCATCTCTAATTGGGCAATAACACTTGAAAACAGCTTGGTTAATAATTTAGGTTTATATAATATAATAATTTAAGTTAATAATTAAACTAATTCAGGTGCAGTCATAAGTGGTTTTTGACTCAGATTCTCAACCTAACTGCGATATTACAGTTATGCTGAAACCTTTGGACAGGAGCAGGTACACAAAATAGTGCTGTTTTTTGGTATTTCTTTGTGTTGCTGAAAGTTTGGTTAATTTAACAAATATTTGGTTAATTTACCAAATTTTTTAAAATTATTTTTCAAGGTAAAATAGCCAATAACTTCAGGGAGATTTATAAGAAATAAATCTTGCCCTGTGTCTTACTAATTCTGCAACTTTCCAACTAGGAGAGAGAGCAGTAGAAATTTTTTTTTTTTATTTTTGTCTATCAGTTGTTTTCAAGCAAGCAAGACTTCTTTTTTTACAGCCTGAAGCAGAGGATGAAGCTTGACCTCCCCGAAAGAACTATGCTTGTTTTTCTTTTTATTTTTAATTTTTTTCTGCTATTGACAGGCCGAGCTCCGATAACAGGCGCCACAGCATCCGGGAGAGGATGTCCAGCAGCAACGAGAAGGGGAGCCTGGCCATGGAGTCCACCAAGGAGACGCGGTACTGCGCCGTCTGCAACGACTACGCCTCGGGGTACCACTACGGGGTCTGGTCCTGCGAGGGCTGCAAGGCCTTTTTCAAAAGGAGCATTCAAGGTAATAACCTGCTCAAGTGAGTCACCTTTACTCTTTACTCTTTATACTCCGTCTTGAGGAAACTCAAAGTACTTGAGATTCTAGCCCGACTCTGGGACAATGACATTTATTGGGTTTTCATTAGCAGTTGTGCTCTCCCACGTAGTTTTAGCTCTGTACTTGGTGAGTGCTTTTAGCAGGTATAAAAGATGTTGTTACTTAGTCCAATGTTAATGAGGAGAAGCAAAGCTTTTCTATATCATCCTTGCTTTAGGTATATCTGACCATGGTGGTAGTGAAAAATTTAATTTAAAAATCCGTATTGGACCAAGATGATCACTCTTTCAGGCTATGCATATCTCTCCTCTTATCCAAGGCATTTTTGAGTATTCCATGTCAGATGATTAATTCCTGCTGATTGATTTACTAATCTTAATTTAGTGCTCCATTAGCCAGATGTTTCAGTTCAAATCTCAATTCCTTAAAGATGCTAGATGTCTTCTGAGAGCTGGTATTGAAAAGGAATGTTTCCTTGATGAAATATTATTTGTGTCTGTCAACACAAAGCAGGGCTTTGAACGGTACACAGAATGTTTTGTTCACAGTCTTGTTGTGGTTAAAAAGGCTAGTGGAGTAAAGGGCATCTAACAAAACCACTGTTAATTACTGTGACAGAGATAATTATTTCCTTAAATGCCTGTCACTTTGTGGAATGGATGGGGGTTTTTTTGCTTTGTTCAACATCTCTTAAAATGAGTAAGAAGTAATTGTAATTCTGCAAAAAATAGAGGTACTGTTCAGTATCTAAGATTTAGAGAAGAAAATAAAACAGATTTCCTCCTTTTAAACAGGAAACTGGTGAAGTGCTGTGCTTTATTTAGGTTTCTATAGCTTTTAAAATCTCCAGGTGACACATAGGCACAGAAATTTCTGTTGCCTGTTTTACTGAAGGTAGCATAGTGTGGAACAGTTTTACATCATATCACAAGGTGTGATTATTGCCTGTTTTATTGCATGACTAGCACTGAGGTGAGTTAAATAGGACTTCCAGCATTCAGCTCAGAATCTTCCCACCTTGAAGGAAAAAAGTGAAAGAATGATGGAGGGGTAGACATTGATGGAATTATTTGAATGACAATGATTAGTTAGTAGTTACTCATATTTCTATTTGTCCAGACACACTGAAATGATTTTTAAAAGAACAAGTGGTTAGAGCCAGAGGTCAGTAATAAGCAACACTGAAAGGAGAAAGGGTGAAATGCTTTTTTTTCTTCACATCAGAGTAATTTACTTTAACTTGTGATGTCAGGAGAAAAGCTCCCTTATTGTGTATTTGTTATTTTTCCTTTTCAGTTCCTCTGGCCAAGTCAGAATTATTCTTAGACTTTTGAAATTATGTCCTTGTGCTTGAACTGAACTAAATCACAGCAAAGTGGAAATTGAAATAGCCTTAAGCAAAAGTAAAAGTTATCGAGTAATCGTGCAGCAAAGATCTTTAGCGTTTGGCCATTGTGGTAGAAGAAATGAATCCATTTCATTGAGTTTCTGCTGTCAGCACTTGGTGGTTTTGCCCTGGTCTCCACATGGACAAATGTTGTGGTCCACCACACTGGATCTGTTTTCTATTTGTGCTACACTAAAGACTTGTTAGTAAATTTGCTTCTTGCTACATATATATATATTTAACGTAATTTTTAAGTAGATAAGCTTTTAAATCTTGAAACTTAAGTTTCCAGGATCCCATAAAATGTCTTTCATGATCTATAAGTCATGTTTGCTCTAATTTAAGCTCCTTGCTTCTTGCCCTATCCCCTGTGGGCACGAAGAATGCTTATTGCAACAACCTTTTACATAGTTGAAGACTGTTATCATATCTTTTCACAGTCTTCTCTTTTTTAGACTAAACAAACCAATTTCTTTCAGTAGAACATACTTTCTAGCCATCTTATCCCATTTCTTAAGCTCCTCTCTACTTTCTTCAGTTGACCCATCTCTTTTTGTGATTAAGTTAGGGTAAAAAAATGACATCCATAAGTATAAAGAAAATAATTCAAGAATATGATATGAGTACTTATGAGAGAATTGTAATCATTTGATCACAGAGGCTAAGAAAAGTTTTCTGAACTTTTAAAGTCATAGCTACCCAGTCTTGATGAACTAAGGTAATTTATGAATTTTCTACTGGATTTGGAAGAGATCTCTATTTCTGCAGTTACACGTTCTTATTGAACATGTGTGCAATTTATGAAAATGAAAGTAATTTTTAGATTGAGAATAGATACAAAAACATGTATTTACCTTGCAGATGATAATAATTTTAAATATACTGTGATCAGATAGCTAGGAATGAATGCTACTTATGTGCAGGTATATTTATAGAAGAATACGTGGACTAAATTTATAGGTAAATATATAGGTATATATTTTTGATTTATTATATATACTGCATTCCTAAAATAAATGGGAAAAAATTCCTGTGATTTATATGATCAAACACTGTTGAGGTACACAGAACTTTTTTGTGTGAACAAAAATAACCAAAATGCTTTAAGCAAAGATTTTTGTTGCTTCAGCAAAGATAACTGTGCTACTTTGTTCTTTGCTAATCTGTATTTCTCAATAAATATATAGATGCAGACATAATTTCTGTACTTCTCATCAGAGATTTCATAGGAGAGTTGCTGTAATGAACCTTGATGTTCCTGTTAGACTGTATACAAGCATTCTACATTGTTCTTAATAGAACCACAGGAAAAAGTAAGGACAGGCATGAAAAAACTGTATGTGGTAATGAATTACCTCTGTTATTCTCAGTGATATCTCAGGTACCTATGTTCACCTGTGTAAGTATATACTGAAATTTTATGAAAACTCACATCTACATTGAAACTTACCTGAGGTGACAATATTCACTTTTATCCAGGGGATCTGGAATGTTCCTGGTAATATTTTGTGAGTTTTAAATGCTAAGGTGTTTTTCTTTGTTGTCAAGTAGTTAAAGCTTAAGATGTAACCTGAATTAGAAATTGCCTCAATATGTGCAAGTTTTCAGTTTTGTTTAAAGAACAGATGGTTTGCTGAAAACCTGAACTGCATCCTGAAGCTGCCTATATCAGTCTATTAACCTGAACTGCATCCTGAAGCTGCCTAAGTCAGTCTATTTTGTTAGTTTATGTCCCAAAAGGAATCTGAGACCTTGCTTTGAGAAACCTCAGTGCAGAGTATTATTAATGTACAAGCTTTCAGGGGAGAGAAAAGTCACAGGACACCAAGGATGCCACGTTGCTTGGTGATGGAAGAATGCTTTACTCTTCCCCCAGCATGTGTAGCCTTCAGAATTGTATTTAGTTGAGGGACCTGATTTCAGAAGCATAAAAAGGAGCCCCACCACAGCACACTGTACTTCTCTCCTAAAATATTTATGAATTTTAGGACCAAGAAGGGCCATTAGATAAATAACTCTCTTCTCTCAATATGAACTTTATATGCTATCCATCTCCAAAGCCCAGTAACTTGATGGAGGTAAATATTTTAGAAGATGCCCAGATTCAGGATGCCCACAGGCTCAAGCATTTTCTTGAGCCATAATGATGGCTTATTCTAATGATTTGTCCTCCCATATACTAAAAATCTACCAAATTAATATATAGTACTCTACCCCTTATGTGTCTTTGGCTTTTACATCACTTTCATGAGCCAGTCTTAGTTACCACTACTATCTTTCTCCTGTGGAAAGTTCTTAAAAATTAGGTCATCAAGTCATCAAATCACCTTGATATCTTAAGTGAACTAAAATGTTTCAGTCTTCTGCTGTATATCTTTCTATCTTCTGAGTCCATTATCTTTGCACCTTTACTCATTCCCCCACACCCATAACAGCCTGTCTAAAATCTGGATGTCAGAATTGGATGATATATTTAAACACGAGCCTTACAAATGCCATTTACAAATTAAAAATCCCCTTGTGACTCACACATTCTTTCCCCCTTCTAATTCCCTTGTTTTTTGGATGGCCACCAAGCCCTATGAGACAGGAAGGAATTACTCATACCACCTCTGACAAGCATCCAGCAAATGCCTACATATGGGTGTCTGCAAACCCCCAGAGGGAGCACAAGAGATTCAGAACAAATCAGGAGTAAATCCTTATGTTACAGGGTATCTTGATCCCAGAATTGCTCAAGCATTTTAGAAATCACCAATTCTATTTCCCCTTCATGTGCCTTTCTTATGTTTTTCAGGTGCATCTTCTCTGCTTTTATTCATAGCTTTTGCTCATATCTGGGATATTTCACATATAGTCAGTTAAAAATTATTCGATGATGGAAGGCATTACCAAAACAGGTTGGCTTTGGAGAATGGATGAATTGCTGAGGAATTCCAGAGGCCTGCCTTTAATGTCTTCATCAGAGATATAAGGGTCTCTGAAGTGTAGGAATTCTTGAAGCTGGGAAGTATTTTGCTTGTGTGCCTTGAACCTGGATTTTAATTAGCAGTTATGCCTCCTGACCATCAAGTGGGAGAGTTTTGGCAGTAGACTTCGAGTGTTACCAATTGTTTTTATTTGAGAGTGATAGAGCTGTACTTTGTTGAAAGTATGTAATGTTGAGAGGGGTGGTAAGGTATACATATTTTCATGTTTGAGAGAATTTTACTGGTAAAACATGTTAGTAAGTGAGTGTTTAGGTAATGGTAAAGTGCAGCAATTGCAATAGTGTCAATCTGGGAGGTTTCTGAGATCTTCCCTTTAATTTTCCCTTCTAGTCTTCTGTTTTGATGGTATTTTTGTAATCTGTTTTAAAACAGCTCAGATCCTGCAGCCAAGAAGGCAGAAACTCCCTAATAAGACTGCTTTACACTGGTACTATGAGCTGTCAGCCAAACTACAGAACAGGAACCTCAGTGAGTTTAGCAGAGTTAATCACAGCAAATCAACAGGGAGCTGCAGATGGGCATCTGGCCTCAGGGTAGAAAACACATGGTTCCAGTTGGAGATGGCTGTTGGAAGTTTGAAGGCTGGA